TCAACATTAAACTGAAGAACTGTAGCATAGGTTGTAGTAGAGGCCTGTAACTGAAATACTGCTCCAAGTGGGAATGAACTTATTTCTTATAATGCAAGTGACAAATGTATGCCTTCACGGCATGTGTGATGAAGGGAAACCCAGCAATGACTGTCTAGGGAGCATAGTTTACAGAACAAGTAATCATATACATTCCATAAGCTGTGTCCGCCATGTTCCAAGGACAATAAGTTCCTTCAAATGCTGGTATTCACTCTCTCCAGCCAAGAATTGTTACAACCATTTCAAGCATTTTTTAAATCTTGTTTGACACAATTACATTTTCATTTACATTTTTCATATCACATTGTTCATGCAGCATATACAAACATACTGAAGGAAAAAAATAAGGGATCACATGAAAGCACAAGTGTTCCCTTATTTTTTTTCAGGTTTCTTCACAAGCTATGCAATACAAAGTTTGTGAAGAAACCTGGAAAAAAATAAGGGAACACTTGTGCTTTCATGTGATCCCTTATTTTTTCCCTCAGTATATATGGAATCTTTTTCAATTTTCTTGAAATCCTACCAAGAATATTTGAGGTGAGGTGAGATGAAATTGGGTTTTAGGTCATGCTTGAGAATATTTCGCTCATATGACGGCGTGCATGCGTGTGTATGTGTATGTGCGGCTGCTTGTACAAGCCCAGACTTAAGCTGGTTTTATAGTGCCAGCCCACTGAGATACCATGCCGCAGTGAAGCATGAATACCCCACTTAGACACATTATACTGACTCTGAACCGACCAGTCCTTGTTGTACCCATTAATGCCGAGCGCCAGGCAGGGACCAACAAGTACCATATTTTAACGTCTAAGAATATTTGAACAAAAAATGTGTTTCTACAGTAGTGAGATATCAACCTGACTGCAGTATGTGATGGTGTCCAGGAATGACTCAGAGTAGACACTATAAACCCTAACTATTGATCTGTCTTGATTACTTCAAAACACATTGTCGTGGCTCAACCCTGGAGTCTTCTTTGTCTATTATTAGAATCATGACACACTCAAATCCATACAGGCATTAGATCATGGTTATGACAATCTTCAGAACGCTTGTAATCACTGTTGTAACTTGTTATATTCAAAATTAAATGAATTATAATAAAATTTTCTTTTGGATTCTGAATTGAATTGTACCAATTAAAATGCAAGGGTTTGTGACATGTTTACGAGGCAGTTTTCAAATGCGACGTAATTATTCCTGTTTTTGTGGACTACTATGAATTGATTGTGTAATGGTTTTGCGTTCGGGCTTTGTGCAAGGCTATGTATTTGAAGTGTAGGAAGATGTCAGCTGATGACAATGTGTCATCTTCACAGTATTAATCAATATCATTATGTTTGACTGTTGACATGATGTTACAAGGTTGCAGACAGGGAGCATTGAGATGTGTATTTATCGTGTCATGTTTCTGTCTGTTTCTGTGACTTGGTTGACACATGTCATCAATTCCCTATTGTGTAGATCGATGCTCATGGTGTTGTCCTCTGCCATGATATTGCTGGAATATTGCTAAACATGGCGTAAAACTATACTCACTCACTCACTCACTCATGATGTTGATCACTGGATTGTCTGGTCCAGACTCGATTATTTACAGACCACTTCCATAGAGCTTGAATATTGCGACATTAAACAACAAACCAATATATCTCCTGGCTGAAGGACTAATATGATGAAGGGCTGAAAATTAAAGAAAGATCCATTTAAAATATGTTTTAACCTAGTCAAAGGGGATTTTCATTTGTTGATAGATCAGTATCAGCGACCAGGGAGGAGAAAATCCAAGAAACGTTTTGTAAGTCCCGCCAAATCCTAACAAGTAGTTATTGTCTGATTGGTTAAATCCATTAGGCCGTTTCGTGTTGATTGGACGGTCATAGGTTTCTCAAAGGTTAGCTACGTGACCTTCTACTAGGGTTTGTTAGACTCAGTATAGCAGTGTAACGAATAATACTGAGCCTAAGTTTCCTTGTTATATTATGGGTCAAATTTAATCCCTAGGGTAACGTTACTAGGGCTGCGCAATATAACCGGTTTACCAGTATTTACTGGTTCAGACATGAAAGCGATACGTATTGCGATACGCTGATTGAAAACCGGTATTTTGACATGCATTCCGAAAACTTCGTAACACTCGGAAATCTTCGGATATTTACGTTTTTTAAATTGTTGGTTTCCTTGTTTCATTTGTGCCAAATATTATTTACATTTTTATTTTGTCATGATTGAAAGTTTTTATTAAATCTTAATCAAGCATAGTGATTAGTGATAGTTTTTGCTTTATAAATCAAGCATTAACTCCATTATAAATAGTTTTTTTTGTTTAAAAAAAACTTCTTGCAATATATTGCAATATATGCTTTTGCATCGCAATATGTCGCAATATGAAAAGTCTCTGCAATACCCACCCCTAAACGTTACCAAATAAATAAAAAGTACATGTATATCTGATTATCAGCAGGTAATGTGTTATGACAGGTATACTGCCTGTCTGGTCGTGTGTTACTGTGTATATTTCCTGGTGCATGTATATTACACATGTACATAGCTGATGTGTACACAGCTGTGTATCATGAGCACCTCAGCCAACAGTCTGTTAGTCACATACCCTTATATGGGCATGCATTTGTACTCTTGTGTAAATAATATTAAAAAAATATGGTACTTGTAGCAACCATTCCTGGTATGTGGAATGAAAGAGGATGAACAGTGATTGATCTGTTCGTAGTCAAATACAGTCAAATCCCGATGAGTCGAATCTCTGGGGACCAAGTAATAAATTCGACTTATCGATGTAATTGAGACATAGGTATGTCTATGAGGGTAGAAAAAAAGATGATCCAGTCCTAATTCCTCCGCCTAAGCATGTGTTTATCTAATGATTTCCCTATCACTAATAGGGGCACCTTATCAGTTCCAGTCTGATTAGCACAGACAGTGATTTCCGTAAAATCACTAATCTGCCTTTTGAACTCACCCGTCAAAGGCGGAAAGGTGTGAGCCGCGCTGGTTTGTTAATTGGATCAGTTTGCTACATCAATCAACTTCTCATTGACTGACTTCAGCTTATGTATATAGTATTCAAGATTGCTGTTGTTTGAATCTCATGGGACCAAATTTTCTTCTCGAGTCATCGTGTGTATTTATGAGACGAATTCGTGTAACCGGTATTCAAATGATGACAGCTATAAAAGGGAATGGTCGGGACCGACAGGTACTTCAAGTTATGCATAATATTCGAGACACCGGCATTCGACTTATCGGGATTTGACTGTATTTGGAGATTACTACTTATCTGGGATTCTAAACTTACTACCCTCGACTTACAGATAGAGGAAAATCATAATTTTGTTCAAATATAGGATTTTTCAAAGTTTCTACTTTTGCATTTTTAAAGGTGTTTTAATTGTAAATTTGCTTTCCCTGCATGTTAAAGGCAGAATTAAAGCCTCTTCATCTTTATTATGTTTATTGGCCTGGTTACCAGTGTACAAGGCGTTTCTACAAATGTTTAATAATGTGAATCCGGAAATGTCTGATTTTACAGATTGGGCCAAATATCAGCCTCTAATGAGGTCAAGACCAGTCCCTGATACTATGTCTGAGTTTGGTATCCCTGATACACTGTAGGATGGTATCTCAGTGGGCTGGCTCTATAAAACAGGCTTTTGTCTAGACTAGTACAAGCTGTTGCACACACACACGCATGCATGCACATTTGCTATTGGAGTGCAATAATCTTGAATAGTACATTAAATCCTGTTTCATGTTCAATCCCTCTTAAATATTCTGAACATAGAGATGGTGACATGTGGAAGTCATCTGGTCTGTGCCTTTGCTGTAGAATGGGTAGGAAGTACTAATAATTGGTGTTTGTGAAATATGTGAACCTTCACCTGTTTTAGTTGCTAGGCGACATAAGTTTCTGTAACTTAGTGACTTGGTCGGCTAGAGCCATGCACAATCACATCTTCATGGTCTATTGTTATAGGACCGCCTCTGTGGTGTAGTTGTTAGAGCGTCCCCCCGGAGAGCGGAAGGTCGCAGGTTTGATCCCCGACCGCGTCATACCAAAAGATATTAAACTATGGTACTTGTTGGTCCCTGCCTAGCGCTCGGCATTAAATGGGTACAACAAGGACTGGTTGGCTTGGAGTCAGTATAATGTGTCTGAGTGGGGTATTCATGCTTCACTGCGGCATGGTATCTCAGTGGGCTAGCACTATAAAACCAGTTTCAGTCTGGGCTAGTACAAGCAGCCGCACATGCACATACACACGCATGCATGTCGTCATATGAGCGAAATATTCTCAAGCATGACATTAAAGCCAATTTCACCTCACCTCACCTCACCTATTGATATAGATACATGTTTTGCTTGCCAGTCTCAGTGATTGGGCTTGAGTGATGGCTCCTTCTGGATTTGTATTCTTCAAGAATGAATATGTTTGTGACATATACTATCGAAAGGAGTTAAAGAACAGTCTCTTTTGAGTAGTATACTAATCGCTTGAGGAACAAATAACTAAAACAGGGAAAATAGATTAATATGCTGCCTGTTGTACATTACTGCATGCAGCTATGATAATATATTTGTTAGTTATGTACAATATGCTATGCAGTTTTTTTCACTGTACTCATATTGTATATTTTATGCAGTTTTTGTTGATAGTTTTTTGTAATGCTGTATGGAATGTCTCCAACCTGTGTGCATTGTTTGCATTTGCTTTTAATATATAGTGAAATTAAAAATATATTTCTGGAATGGCAAACCATTGTCAATGACAAGTATGGAATAAAGTTCTTTTAGCTTAACTGTCACTTGAGGTACGTTTTCCACAATAACCATGACAACCTGATGTTTCTGTGAGTGACATATTTGAGGTGAGACCTACAAATGATGTCTGTCTCTATGTCACAAATTTCTCTATTGTTTCTCTGCTTTGTTTCAGAAACGAAAGCCCATTGATGCATGCTGGCTACAGCTTTGTGTTCTTCATGGTAAGCCACCTGACTTTTATATGGAGAAATATCCAAGGATAACTGTCGCTATCACAGAGGGGACTGGGCGTGGATTGGGTGGCAAGCATGGCTGTAATCAATGGATGCTCACCTCGAACGACACCTTTTTAATTTTTCCTGTTAAATTTTGATGTCGGAATTTTTCAGTTACCAGTAAGACTGTTATGAGTGAGTTATCAGTATTCCAGGAATATTTCTGATACCAGAGAGTGGGGTAGCCTAGTGGTTAAAGCATTTGCTCACCACACTGAAGACCGGGTTCGATTCTCCACATGGGTACAATGTGAAGCCCATTTCTGGTGTCCCCTGCTGTGATATTGCTGGAATATTGTTAAAAAGTGGGTAAAACCCAAATTACTCACTCTAACACCAGAAATAGGCTTCACACTTGGTACTTATAGGGAACTGTGCCCTGACCCTTGAAGGTCCGGGTTAGAATGAGCCTTCAGTAACCCATGCTTGTCGTAAGAGGCGACTAACGGGATCGGGTGGTCAGGCTCGCTGACTTGGTTGACACATGTCGTCGGTTCCCAATTGCGCAGATCGATGCTCATGCTGCTGATCACTGGATTGTCTGGTCCAGACTCGATTATTTACAGACCGCCGCCACGTAGCTGGAATGTTGCTGAGTACGGCGTAAAAATAAACTCACTCACTGTGCCCAGGTGCAACTAGTAAGTGTATTGAGTAAGCCAACTGTCCCTAAACTGCTGACATCCACCTAGTGTCAGTGTGAATTTGATTATAGAGTGTTAATGTTCATTCTGTAGGACATCAGTGACTGCTTGACAGCAGAATCACATTATAACTGGCTTACACATCAACATGCCTATTCACTACTGGGGATGTCTCATGCCTTCGATCTTTGCATTCAGGGTTAATGTCTTTATGTTGTAATAAAAATACTGTGGCAGTACAAGGTGTGTTATCTCCCTTTCAGCAAGCTCTCATGTCATTCGAGGAAGAGAAGTTAGGTGAAGCTCTGAAAGTTCTCCAGCATACAGAGAAGAAATGTGAAATAAGTGATGGCTTTTTACGATCTGTGAAGAAACGGTTTTCAAAGAAAAAACGACAGCAAGTGAGTATTGTCTCGTTTTAGTCTCACAGTGCTGTGCATTAGGGGTGGACATTTGTGGGTGAATAACATGAATAAGTATTGCAATCATATTGCATAGCTATAGTAAGGCCAGACCAAGTTTATTTCTTGTTTTACGGATCCGCCTGTTATATTTTTTCAAGAATAAGAAAAAAAATAAAAGTTGATTTCCCCCGCTCAAAAAATAAATTCCTAATGTTTTATTTGTCAAACATGTAAATTTGAAATTCAAACATGTAAAAAAAATGTTAGATTGTGTTTTGCCCCATATACACTTCATAAATTGCCAAAAGTAAAATACTTTTAGTATTTATTTATTTTTATTTTTATATTTTTCCCTCCTGCCTTTAGTTTTTTGAGGACAAAAATCCATAAAACACGAAATAAAATTGGTCTGGCCTAATCATAATTCTGCAATATGAATGTATAATCCATGAATTACTTCAGAACAGGATATATACTTCCATCAAAATCAATTAAATTCAATGTTTTATGAAATCTCTTGTCAATATCATGAGGAGGAGGAGAAATAATGAATTAAAATGTCATCCCTGTTTGGGTAAAATCCTTAAAAAACTCTAGGTTACAGTTTGGTTTCAATTGATCTTCAACAACCCATTCTTGTCATAAAAGGTGACTAATGGGATTGGGTAGTCAGGCTCGCTGACTTGGTTGACACATGTCATTGTACAGTCGAACACCATTATCTCGATATTCATGGGACCAAGAAAAATATCGACTTATCCGAACTTCGAGACATCCGACCAGGGCATATCGTCACATATCACTATGAAAGAAAACAAAATGCTTCTCGGTATGTTTTGATTCGAAACTATAATCCGTTATCAGTCGTGTTTAGTCATAACAGTGAGTACTTCCTAATTATTTCCTTCTTAATTAATCCTAATTACATAACAAACAAGTGACACCTTCAACTCAATTAGCCCTAATTAGTTTACACCACCGCATCCCTTTGATTCATGCCGCACCGTCTGTAAACGTGTGGAAACAACCTCAGTTCAGAGGGATACTTGCCCATGAAAGGTAGGTCAATATCGAGTTTCTTTGCAAATATCGAGTTAAAAGGGTAATTTTGCTTGTTGGGACCATGAAATTATATTGAGATATCCAAAATATCGAGACAACCGTTATCGAGTTAAAAGAGCTTGAATAATGATAACTTATGAAGGATTTTGCCGGGACTGAGATGTTATATCGAGACAACCGAGATATCGAGTTATCAGAGTTTGACACAACGGTGCTCCACTGTATCTCAGTTGCGTAGATCGATGTCCAGGATGTTAATCACTGGATTGTCTGGTTCAGACTTGATTATTCACAGACCACCACTATAAAGCTGGAATATTGCTGAGTGCGGCATTAAACAACAAACAAACAGTAGTTTTGCTAAGTTATTGTTAGACTATCCTTAAAAAAGGGATTAAGTAGGCCTTGGCATGTTATAGGTTCAACTGGTGTTGATATGATGAGAGGGTTTGACAGGTATACCATAAGTTGGACTAATGAAGACATACCACAATAATTTGGAAGCATGGTATGGTGCTTTTTTCAAAACCATGAATAATTTACATGTGACAGGTCCACCTGAAATTATGAAATTCAGAAATGAGAAAGTAGATTCCGGTGTTCGTATAAGCGAACTGTACATGACAAGCTTTCTGTGCATAATGTCTCTTTACACATTAACATGACCAATGTAAAGTACAATAAAATGGAGTAAGACTACAAAATTGTGCAGGAGGGATAGTGATAGTGTGGGTTGAATCTGCAATTAAACCATTTACTCTCTTGTGTTTCAGTCAGAGGCTGAAGTGAGTGTCGAGGATCGTATCCAACGCCAAGTGATTGTTGCAGACTCGTTGCTGTACCAGGCGATTCTTGTCTTCACAAACCAGGACATCGCTAGTTATGTAAAGGGTGGGTGGTACCTAAGAAAGGCTTGGAAACTCTATGAGAAGCTTCACAGGGAGGTCTTGGATCTTAGTGAGAAACAAGCACGGGCAAAGATTGAAAAAATGACCAACAGCCTTCCTTCCAATGTTAGCCAGAACAGTGTATACGTCCATGACAGCGACACAGATGGCAATGACAATGAACTGACGGAGGAGGTTCTTACGCGTCTTTGCGGTGCCGTGAATTTCGGATATGGTACATTCCAGTTGTGTATATCCATGGTGCCTCCTAAGATATTGAAGCTGATCGAGTTTCTTGGGTTTGAAGGGGATCGGGAAGCAGGGCTGGGGTCACTGGAGTATACTAGTCACAGCAAGGATATGAAGGCACCTCTGGCCACCCTAGGGCTGTTGTGGTACCATACTGTGCTTAGACCGTTCTTTGCTCTTGATGGTGCCAATAGCTTCAGTGCAGGTGAGTCAACTACTGATCTTGGGAGCTTTGTAATGTGTCTCTAAACCATCTAATATTGTCTTTGTTGCTAAAATGGAACTTTCTAGTTATTTCTTTTACAGACCATTGTCAAGTATGCAAACTACCGAGGAAATGTGTTATTGTGTTATTGTTACTAAGAACATGCATTGGATGAAAGCAATTTTAGTTTCAAAATTATGCTGCATATTTTTTGAAAAACAGAGGTGTATTAACACAATTGACAAAGGTGCATGCCAGGTAGGATGAGCATTGTTCATTGCTTTCTCACCCAGTACATACTGCAACCCATGAAGATCTGGGTTAGAATTGATCTTCAGTAACCCATGCTTGTTGTAAGAGGTGACTAACGGGATCGGGTGGTCAGGCTTGCTGGCTTGGTTGACACATGTCATCAAATCCCAGTTGCGTTGATCCGATGCTCATGCTGTTGATTACTGGATTGTCTGGTCCAGACTTGATTATTTACAGACCGCTGCGATATTGCTGGAATATTGCTGAAAACTGAACTCACTCACTCACTCAGCCTGTGTAAGCTGGCATCAATCTGATTTGACACAAGTCAGGTGGACTACTTCAGCTCTGAATTTCCAAAATGTTTGTAACGCAGAAACCTGCTAGGTCTGTGATTCTGACAGTGACTTCACATTGTGATGATTGGTTGCAGGCACAACAGAAGCTGAGAACATCATTGCGGAGAAGGAGAATGACTTCCCCAACTCTGCTCTCTTCCTGTTCTTCAGAGGTCGGATACACCGGCTGAGGGTGAGTAGCCTAGTAACAATGGGATGGATAGCTTACACAGGCTGAAGGTAGCTCACACAGGCTGAGGGTAGCTCACACAGGCTGAGGGTAGCTCACACAGGCTGAGGGTAGCTCACACAGGCTGAGGGAGAGTAGCTCACACAGGCTGAGGGAGGGTAGCTCATACAGGCTGAGGGAGGGTAGCTTACACAGGCTGAGGGAGGGTAGCTCACACAGGCCTAGGGAGGGTAGCTCACACAGGCTGAGGGAGGGTAGCTCACAGGCTGAGGGAGGGTAGCTCACACAGGCCTAGGGAGAGTAGCTGGCAGTGACTCAGGGAGTGTTGCTCACACAGTTTGACTATTAGGAGCTTATTCCAACTGAAACATACAACTTTATGGATGACAACTTCTTATTTATTGCATAGAGCGATGTTTCGATGTAGATGCTTACATCGTTATCAAGCTAAAAGTCATCCATAAAGTTGTATGTTTCATTTCTGAGTCACCAACTTCTAGAATGCCTATCAAACAATTGTTCCAACTGAGTGAGGGTTGGTTATGCAGTTTCTACATGTTTCAGAAAGAGTAACCTGTCACTATTGATGTACATGTTTCAGAAAGAGAGTAACCTTTCACTATTGATGTACATGTTTCAGAAAGAGAATGACTTGTCACTGGGGATGTACCAGAAAGCGCTGGAGGAGGCTGCAGGGCAGAGGGAGATAGAACTTATGTGTCTCTATGAAATAAGTACGTAGCCTGATCGTTGGTCTCAGCATACCAATTTGTTTGTAACATTCACACCTCCCTTCACAGAGTTGTTGGGGGATTTTGCATTTTGTCCGTAACAACTTGAATATTAAAACGATTTAGCATTATGTAGCTGAATCAGTTTATGGTCAGTGCCGGTAGTATGGGGTAACTACTAACAGCTGTCATGGAACTTTTGTTTACAAACATTCCCCTTCCTCAATATAGCCCAATAGCAACCATATGTCATTTGTTCTCATGACATCAGGTGGTGGGGTAGCCTAATGGTTAAAGCGTCCGCTTGTCACGCTGAAGGCCTGGATTCTATTCCCCACATGGGTACACTCTCATGACATCACCAACTTGTGCAGTAAACAAGCATCACATCATTCTGCTGCATGCAAGCTACAGTGACACTGTTCGGACAGTGGAGTAGGCTTATGGCCAAGACTTGGCTTCCACTTTTCCACCATTATTATAAGGGTAATGCTATTTTTGAGGGCATTATCATTTGCAGAAGCCCTAGGTCTTCCACTAACCTTTTTAACTGCCCGGCGAAGGAGGGCAGTTGAACAATTCTAGTGACGTCACAATATTCGACCTTGGCCTTTGACAATACCCTGGCCTGCAACATGTCAAACTATGTCAGACACAACGTCAGTTGTCAGTGTTCAGTTTTGGTCCAACAACAACGTTAATAGTGCAATTGTTAAGGTTGACACCAACAAGAAAGCCAATATTACCGCTAAAGTGGGAATTCAGTTTGCTTTGACTTGTTTGCCCCAGAATATCTGCCAGTCCAAAGCCAAAGTCGAAGAAACTGTAAGCCTACGCACCCACTATGACGTCACTTGACAACAGAACTGATACTGGCCCATCGTTAAGGTTGAGCGGTCCAATATCATTTGCCGCAAATTTCTGATAATAGGAGGGCCGTTTCATGATAATTCCATGTATTTTAGCTATAATGTTTAATATTTTGCTGAGCTGTGAAAACCCTACTCACTGATCATGTTTGGACAGTTCATGGTGTCTGTTAGATGACAGTCAGTTGAAAGGTTGGCTTCCCATGTTTGCCTCCCACTTCCAAACCCTGACTGGAAAAGTGTGAGCCCAACATCCCTCACTCTTAGGCAGCCAACAGGGATTATGATGATACACCTGAAGTGAAATAACAAGTGTTCACTCTCAAGCTGAGTGTCCTGACACCTGTTTTCTACTTCCAAATGTACAATTATTTACAGGTGCCTTGATTCACCTACCTTGCACATCTGTACACATTGCAGGACTCAAATACATAATACAACTTATGTTATTACTCTGGGACAGCTTGTTGTTTCCATGTGGCCGAGCAAGATGTTGCTGTTTAACCTGCATGACTGGTTTATTTGGACTTGTTCTTTTTGCAAAATGTTGTCAGTTGATTTGTTTCAACATAGCCTGCAGGGTAATTCTTGCTTAAGAATTTATCTATCTGGGTTATTGAAAAGCATCATAGGTATGGTAAACTATCTTTATAATGAAATGATGGATAGAACAAACTGCTGTTTTGGTCCCCACCACTTGTATGTTTTAGTGGAAATGCATGTAACAAACTACAGGTATTTTGGACTAAAATTAGTGGTCCCTTTGTGTTTTTTATATTCGGTTTACTGTATTGCTTTTGAAAATTGATATTTGCTGAAAATGTTTATCAATAAATGTGTATGAGGTGTAAATGATGTGCCTGAATTTCTGTGAATTGTGGTTGCCTTTTCAATGTTTGCCATCTCCCTTTCCCCAGGCTGGTGTAATCTACTAAAGCTGAGGTGGACGGACACACTAGAAGGATTCACAAGGTATGTTGGAACAAATTAAACAATGCTAGAGCAAGCTTGTAAATGTTGGTGCACTTCCCAACATTTCATGGTCTGTTGACTGAAGATAAGGGACTGGTTAATGTTTGAATGAAAGTATCCATTGACCTAGTTTGTATTGCACACCATGCTAGATTGATGAGGCAAGGATTTAGGATGTCTCAAGACCAACTGAAAGGCTATGGCAAGTTAAGACATTGAACAAATCAGCCCCATTATCAACGTCTGACTATTATGGTAGAGTCAGTGCAAGTAATTTACTTTGAGTTGAAGGAGTTATCTCCCTTCACCTTGTGCCCTCATGCTACAGAGTAGACACTAACTAGAAAGACTTCACTTTTTATAATTTTCTTTTACAATTTTAATGTCATTACTCGGCAGGCTGACCAAATGTGTTGTGAATTATGTAACTGTCCATTTCTCGGATGCAACTGGATGAAGCATTTGCTTCCTTTAATATTTAAATCACATCTTGAACATGTCAGCTTATGACTGTTTGTCATGTATCCTGTGTAAGAATCATGCAGAAAATATTTCAGTATCAGTTTATGACAGTATTAATGTACTTTGGGCATCTTATCATAATGAATGATATCCACACAAGCTACATTGACATAACCCTGTCTTCACAGTGTGACATTCAGTGTTATCTTACCTCACACATAAATGTCGCTTTCTGATTAACTGAACGGTCTTCTATTATGTTCAATGTACTCCACTTACAAGCGAGTAACATTTCAATGTACCCCGCTGACAATGGCAACTCATTTGGTACTTCGTGGTAGTAATTCTTTATCTCGAATAACATTGAATCATGTATGATGTATGGAAATTACCGATGTTTTGCGAATCCAAATCGATGGAAGGGAGATAAGTCTAAATCTGTTTTTCTTGTCAGCAAAATCTAGCGATGGCTACCAAAAAATTTGTACGAGTGCCTCAAACAATTCAAAATTAACATTAAGGTGTTCGGTAAGATAAATACGTTGTTCACTGGTCCCTCGGGTTGATGTACACTTGATGTTTGTTTATGTTCCCCTCGCCCTTTGGGCTCAGGGAACATAAACAAATGCCGAGGGTACATCAACCCATGCCCAACTCCTCATGACCAGTGAACTTATAATGTATTGCGTTAATATTGTGGAACCATGCAGAAAAATCATCCTTTGAAGAGTGAAAACTTTAGTCTATCTGGCCGTGAAGTTGGTAATGATCAGTGTTGATTGCACAATGCGAGTATTTAAATAACTATACCCACCTCTGATGGAAACAGTGAAGACTGAGTTGGCTACATGTATGATATGGTCTTATCTCTGTATGTATGACATGTAGGATGACTCCATCATGTGTATGATATGGTCTTAACTCTGTATGTATGACATGTAGGATGACTCCATCATGTGTATGATGTGGTTTTATCTCTGTATCTATGACATGTAGGATGACTCCATCATGTGTATGATATGGTCTTATCTCTGTATCTATGACATGTAGGATGACTCCATCATGTGTATGATATGGTCTTATCTCTGTATCTATGACATGTAGGATGGTCTCCATCATGTAGGTGTATGATATGGTCTTATCTCTGTATCTATGACATGTAGGATGACTCCATCATGTGTATGATATGGTTTTATCTCTGTATCTATGACATGTAGGATGACTCCATCATGTGTATGATGTGGTCTTATCTCTGTATCTGTGACATGTAGGATGACTCCATCATGTGTAGGATGTGGTCTTATCTCTGTATCTATGACATGTAGGATGACTCCATCATGTGTATGATGTGGTCTTATCTCTGTATCTGTGACATGTAGGATGACTCCATCATGTGTATGATATGGTTTTATCTCTGTATCTATGACATGTAGGATGACTCCATCATGTGTAGGATGTGGTCTTATCTCTGTATCTATGACATGTAGGATGACTCCATCATGTGTAGGATGTGGTCTTATCTCTGTATCTATGACATGTAGGATGACTCCATCATGTGTATGATGTGGTCTTATCTCTGTATCTATGACATGTAGGATGACTCCATCATGTGTATGATATGGTCTTATCTCTGTATCTATGACATGTAGGATGACTCCATCATGTGTATGATGTGGTCTTATCTCTGTATCTATGACATGTAGGATGACTCCATCATGTGTATGATGTGGTCTTATCTCTGTATCTGTGACATGTAGGATGACTCCATCATGTGTAGGATGTGGTCTTATCTCTGTATCTATGACATGTAGGATGACTCCATCATGTGTATGATGTGGTCTTATCTCTGTATCTGTGACATGTAGGATGACTCCATCATGTGTAGGATGTGGTCTTATCTCTGTATCTATGACATGTAGGATGACTCCATCATGTATATGATGTGGTCTTATCTCTGTATCTATGACATGTAGGATGACTCCATCATGTGTAGGATGTGGTCTTATCTCTGTATCTATGACATTCTTCCTCAGACTGAAAGCAGAATCAAAATGGTCCAAGGCATACTACTCCTATCTTATGTCGGGTAAGTTCATGATTTATTTCCTGTTTCTTAAGATATTCATCAGGGGCACAAGGAGCAGCAGTCTCATCTGCAGAGTTGTGGCCCTTGGTTCTGCTAGGATGTAGCACTTGTAGTTTAAATGGCATATGCCCTGTCTTAGGATCTGCAACTAATCATGGCCATGAGCTATGCTTATGTTGTCAATCACCAGATTGTCTAGTTCAGACGTGATTATTTATAGACTGCTATCAACCCGTGGAAGTCCGGGTTAGAACTGATCTTCAGTAAGGGATTGTTCATAATTTATGGCTTGTGTGTGCGTGCGTGCGTGCGTGCGCGCGTGCGTCGTGTCATTGACTTTGTACATGACATGCAGGGGGGGTCACTTACTTCGTACATAAATTTTAGGGGGTGTCATTCACATTGTACATGCTTCTCCATAAAAATCATCATAACCCCCATAGCCATAAATTATGAACGATCCCTAACCCATGCTTGTCGTAAGAGGTGACTAACGGGATCGGGTGGTCAGGCTCGCTGGCTTGGTTGACACATGTCACCGGTTCCCAATTGCACAGATCGATGCTCATGCTGTTGATCACTGAATTGTCTGGTCCAGATTCGAGTATTTACAGACCGCCGCCATATAGCTGGAATATTGCTGAGCGCGGCATAAAACTAAACTCACTCACAGACTGCTATCATACAACTCAAATATTGCATGTGGTGTCAAACAAAAAACAAACAGAACAACATACAAACAAACCCAAGAGCAGGGAACATGAGTGGAAGTATCAAAGTTGTGATCATGTTAACAGTAGGACTTCAGTAGTCATCAGACATGGCCCACTGTCCAGATTGGTGACCAAAGTTGGTGTTTTATCATGTAATAACCACTTTGAGCAACCAGTGTGACCAGCCATGACTCCTTGTAGTAATATGATGTACACAACAGACTTCCGAGATGATTGCCCAGATGAACCTCTAGCTATCCTGTGTAATCTGTATATTATGACAACTGTGTCTGTGTCCTAGTGTGTCTCGGAGCTCAGGGAGATGTAGAGAAAGCTTACGAAATCCTGAAGGAGGTTCCAGGACTTGTGAAGAAGAAAAACAACCAAATAGAGGCATTTGTTGGGCGCAGGGTAAGTAATTTGTATTTTTCTTTGCAAATGCGAAAACCGTATTTTGAATATCGAAAACGCATATGCTGAACTAGCATGGCTTCCTTCTTCATCAAATTATAATCATTAATTGTGACATGAAGCATCATGCAGGATTCTACAACTCCTCAACAATCATGTGGCTGTTTTCATGATTGTATGGACTTGGTGACAGGATGAGTGGAATCAAATGTAAATGCTTGCCTTTGTCCAGGCTGAGAAGTTCAAGAAGATTCCGCCCACACAGGAGCAGTGCCGCCTGCTGACCCTGGAGCTGGTGTTCCTGTGGCACGCCCTGCCCACCTGCACCACTGATGAACTGAAGCCCATGTTGGACGGTAGGTACTGGAACATTCAGCAGTAGGAAGAGTATATAGGTGCTGATCTTGCCCCTGGTCATGATCACTGCATTATGTGGTCCAGACGCGATGATTTACAGACCACCGCCATAAAGCTGGAATATTGCTGAGTGCGGCATTAAACAACAAACAAACAGTCGGAGGGAAGGGTAGCTACAGGCAACAGTAGGAAGAGTATATAGGTGCTGGCCACAGTAGAAGGGAAGGGTAGCTACAGGCAACAGTAGGAAGAGTATATAGGTGCTGGCCACAGTAGGAGGGAAGGGTAGCTACAGGCAACAGTAGGAAGAGTATATAGGTGCTGGCCACAGTAGGAGGGAAGGGTAGCTACAGGCAACAGTAGGAAGAGTATATAGGTGCTGGCCACAGTAGGAGGGAAGGGTAGCTACAGGCAACAGTAGGAAGAGTATATAGGTGCTGGCCACAGTAGGAGGGAAGGGTAGCTACAGGCAACAGTAGGAAGAATATATAGGTGCTGGCCACAGTAGGAGGGAAGGGTAGCTACAGGCAACAGTAGGAAGAGTATATAGGTGCTGGCCACAGTAGGAGGGAAGGGTAGCTACAGGCAACAGTAGGAAGAGTATATAGGTGCTGGCCACAGTAGGAGGGAAGGGTAGCTACAGGCAACAGTAGGAAGAATATATAGGTGCTGGCCACAGTAGGGAGGGAAGGGTAGCTACAGGCAACAGTAGGAAGAGTATATAGGTGCTGGCCACAGTAGGAGGGAAGGGTAGCTACAGGCAACAGTAGGAAGAATATATAGGTGCTGGCCACAGTAGGAGGGAAGGGTAGCTACAGGCAACAGTAGGAAGAGTATATAGGTGCTGGCCACAGTAGGAGGGAAGGGTAGCTACAGGCAACAGTAGGAAGAATATATAGGTGCTGGCCACAGTAGGAGGGAAGGGTAGCTACAGGCAACAGTAGGAAGAGTATATAGGTGCTGGCCACAGTAGGAGGGAAGGGTAGCTACAGGCAACAGTAGGAAGAGTATATAGGTGCTGGCCACAGTAGGAGGGAAGGGTAGCTACAGGCAACAGTAGGAAGAGTATATAGGTGCTGGCCACAGTAGGAGGGAAGGGTAGCTACAGGCAACAGTAGGAAGAGTATATAGGTGCTGGCCACAGTAGGAGGGAAGGGTAGCTACAGGCAACAGTAGGAAGAGTATATAGGTGCTGGCCACAGCAGGAGGAGGGAAGGGTAGCTACAGGCAACAGTAGGAAGAGTATATAGGTGCTGGCCACAGTAGGAGGGAAGGGTAGCTACAGGCAACAGTAGGAAGAATATATAGGTGCTGGCCACAGTAGGAGGGAAGGGTAGCTACAGGCAACAGTAGGAAGAGTATATAGGTGCTGGCCACAGTAGGAGGGAAGGGTAGCTACAGGCAACAGTAGGAAGAGCATATAGGTGCTGGCCACAGTAGGAGGGAAGGGTAGCTACAGGCAACAGTAGGAAGAGTATATAGGTGCTGGCCACAGTAGGAGGGAAGGGTAGCTACAGGCAACAGTAGGAAGAGTATATAGGTGCTGGCCACAGTAGGAGGGAAGGGTAGCTACAGGCAACAGTAGGAAGAGTATATAGGTGCTGGCCACAGTAGGAGGGAAGGGTAGCTACAGGCAACAGTAGGAAGAGTATATAGGTGCTGGCCACAGTAGGAGGGAAGGGTAGCTACAGGCAACAGTAGGAAGAGTATATAGGTGCTGGCCACAGTAGGAGGGAAGGGTAGCTACAGGCAACAGTAGGAAGAGTATATAGGTGCTGGCCACAGTAGGAGGGAAGGTAGCTACAGGCAACAGTAGGAAGAGTATATAGGTGCTGGCCACAGTAGGAGGGAAGGGTAGCTACAGGCAACAGTAGGAAGAGTATATAGGTGCTGGCCACAGTAGGAGGGAAGGGTAGCTACAGGCAACAGTAGGAAGAGTATATAGGTGCTGGCCACAGTAGGAGGGAAGGGTAGCTACAGGCAACAGTAGGAAGAGTATATAGGTGCTGGCCACAGTAGGAGGGAAGGGTAGCTACAGGTGGCAGAAAGGAAGGAATATATAGGTGCTGGCCACAGTAGGAGGGGAAGGGTAGCTACAGGCAACAGTAGGAAGAGTATATAGGTGCTGGCCACAGTAGGAAGAGTATATAGGTGCTGGCCACAGTAGGAGGGGAAGGGTAGCTACAGGCAACAGTAGGAAGAGTATATAGGTGCTGGCCACAGTAGGAGGGAAGGGTAGCTACAGGCAACAGTAGGATGAGTATATAGGTGCTGGCCACAGTAGGAGGTGTGGGTACTTGTTACTTTAACAGAACAGAGACTACAATTTCCTTCAGCCATGGCATGACAGTAACTTAATGGTTTAAGGTTGTGTCATTGCTTGTGATGTTTTTCAGTGTGTGACATGCAGACTGACAGCAAGGTGTACCACCTGAAGTGTCTGGTGGAAGGCTCTATATACAAGGAGCTGGGCGAGGAGGAGATGGCAGTGCAGGTATGTAGATCTTGTGTTGACAGTTTCTGTATGTGGTGACAGTGTCAGCTGTATGTATTGACAGTGTCAGGTGTATGTATTGACAGTGTCAGCTGTATGTATTGACATCATCTGGTGTCAGCTGTATGTATTGACAGTGTCAGCTGTATGTATTGACATCATCTGGTGTATGTATTGACTGTGTCAGCTGTATGTATTGACAGTGTCAGCTGTATGTATTGACAGTGTCAGCTGTATGTATTGACAGCATGTGGTGTATGTATTGACAGTGTCAACTGTATTTGTTGACAGTGTCTGAAGGAGGCACTAGCTAGACACCAGGGGATAAAGGATGACAACCATGTTCCAGCCTTCACCCTGTTTGAGCTGGCCTCCATCTACATGAAGAACCCAGAGGTATGTGCCCTTCAGTGCCCTTCAGCACCATGTACCATACTTCCAGATACTCAAAAGACATTGTCAAGCATCAAATATTTATTGGACAGAACTTTCAGTAAGATTAAGATGTATATATTGTCTCCTGGTAACCAGGCTTCAAGAGTTACTGCCTGTACCTTCAGAGGGTTCAGGGGTCTACTGTCCAGGATTGTGTCCTCCACCAGAATCCTGTGATAAGTTATGACTGATTTCTGTGGCCCATAAATCAAAACTTTGCAGTCAACTGTTTAGAGTTTGTGATGATATTTTGATAATTCTGTCAACTTTTAAGCTTAGTTTCTAGAAATTTGTACTTTTTACCTGACAAACCTATCTGCAGCTGGAATAGTTTACTGAAGTTTACATGCTGTTGATCACTGAATTGTCTGGCTCAGGTTCAATTATGTTCAGACCATATAGATGGGCTGACTGACTGAGTTTGGTTTTACGCCGCTTTTAGCAATATTCCAGCAACATCACGGCGGGGGAACACCAGAAATGGGCTTCACACATTGTACCCATGTGGAGATTCGAACCCGGGTCTTTCGTGACGAGCCAACACTTTAACCACTAGGCTACCCCACTGCCCCCCATATGGATGGAATATTTCTAAGAACGGCAATAACAAACAAACAAACTATTATATATTTTGATGTTAATCTTTGAAGTAAAGTTGAAGATGTTTCATGTATATTTGTCATTGCAGACGGTTGGTGAGGCGAAGAGCTGCCTTCAGAAGATCAAGGTTAGTCCTGAGTTATCCTCACTATTACTGGTAAATCTATGACCTTGAAAATGTAAAGATTTGAGAAATTTGAAATTTAAAGTTTGGAAATGTTGAGCATATAGTGAGTGTAGTTGTGTGTATACTGGTACACAACGATGATAAGATCTGCAAGTCTTGTGATCCTGGTTAATATACGGCACATTAGAAAATTGGAAAGGGCTTATGAGGTAATTCAAGACAAAAACAATGCTTCACAGAATTATGTATGCAGAACAAATGTATGCACTAAGGTATATATACTACTCAAAAGACGTTAGGGAACACCTGATTCTTTCATATGATGAAAGTTCATCTCCAGACTATCGTGATGGGAAAGAATCGGTTAAACTTCAGGGATATATTACATTACTCAAAGGAGGCAAGAACACCTAATTCTCTCAAATTAGTATAACTTCTTTGATTGGTATTGGCATTGGCAAATTAGTATAGTTGATCTGTCAGCTTGACATACCAACTGTAGTAACAAGAAAGACTGGCCCTAACATAGTAGTAGTTTGTATACCTGTTCAAAATATTTGGATCATCCTCAGTACACAAGGAACCCACTTCACAAATGTGTTTCTTCGAAAATCGTCTTCAACTTGTGTGGCCTCTCATTATTTGCAGCTGACTATTTGAAAGCCAGTGTGATCTTTTTTCTTCAGGATAATTTCAAAGATTACGATTTTGAGAATCGCCTGACTGTCCGTGTGAACAATGCCTTGAAGGAGTTGAAACGCCGGTCGCAGGAGGCTGGAGTGGACAAGAAGGGAAAGAGCTAACTGACAGTGTCATATTATATCTTGTACATATCCAGGACTGAGTGAGTTATCTCCCTTGCATATCTAAACTGTGTTAAAGAGACGAATTCTTGCTGTGGAAATATGTTTTGTCTTATACCTAAGGTTTTGATAAATAGAAAGCTTAATTGGTAGATTTTCTGCATTGATTGCAGCTCCAGGAATTGGATTCTGGTAAATATTTTTTTAATGGTAATTTGTATATATCTGAATTATTTAGGTCAGAATAAGTGGCACATGAGGTAAATTATCCTGGAGGAATATAACATACTTCACTACAGACCACTGACGTTATTCTTGGTATTTTGTCTTATGTCACATTTGCTGTGTCGATATTCCTTCACTGCTTCATACTGTTACAGAGGTGAAAGTTTTATGTTGTGGAATCAAATATGGAACATTTTCCCCACCTTTTCCATATCTTTACTTGAACTTCTGTCAGTAAATATTTCAGGCTTCAACTCCTTGCATCGTGAACTTTTACATTCATATGACATCAGCCAATGGAATTAACTCCAAGGGAAATAACTCATACAGTTTCCCAACATTCAGAACCAATTGTCTTCCTTCAGTATCAGTGTTTTGTTTACAAAGTTTTAGTAAAATGTGAATATTTTTTGCTCTATTTATGTGTGCTTGTTACCATGTATGGTTCTTGCATATATATATTGTGCGTATAGTGGACCACTTTGCACAGTTCATTGTTGAACAAAACCAGACTTTGATTGTGAAGCTTTCAGTCTTTTGATTACTTCAAATATCATGTTAACAATGTCTTCTTGTTTATTTTTAATCTTGTTATCTAGAAGTATGTGACAGCAGGGTTCATAGCGACCAAAACACTTCTTTTTGAAACCACATGGGTACAATGTGTGAAGCCCACTTCTGGTGTCCAATGCCGTGATATTGCTGGAAATATTACTAAAAGCGTCATAAAACCATACTCACGCTATCTCTCTTTTTGTAAAATAATTTAGATTGTTCAGTTGGTGGTGAATGTTGATCATTGTTGGTTTGTAGCTTTATTACCTTTACTGTATAGCCATTTAACATTCTAGGTCTCATGGCATTGAAAATTATTTCTACCTCAAAATTCTTCAAAACAGAGATCAGTATGAATAAAATGTGTTCAATAAAATTTGTTTGCTGGTAGAAAAGTATTTGCCATTTCTTGGTACTAAGTTTTTGTAAGTTTAGCGTTAACACTGTAATTGAAAAAATTATATTTTTATACAGCATCAAGTTAGTTCTGTAATAGTTTCATAATACAAACATGATAGTGGAGACTATGATTTATTGCAGACACTGTTTTCTCTGTCTTAATTTAAATCTATGGTAGATCTAATGAGGCATCGTTTATCAGTGGTCCAGAGTCAAATATTTACAGGCTACCATCTTGTAACATATGTTATATTTGGGATTACACTTTGTCAGTAAAGTACAGATTCTAGTACTTTTTTGGGTTGAGTCCCATCTGGGATTGAACCCACACCCTCAGAGTCAGGCATCTATTTAGCACACAAAGTCAGACGCCTAGACCGCTCAGCCATCTATGACTTCCACATGGATGGCTGAGTCTAGGCGCCTGACTTTGTGTGCTGGCAATTAGGTGCCTGACTCTGAGGGTGTGGGTTCAATCCCGATGGGACTCAACCCAAAAAGTACTAGAATCTGTACTTTACTAAGAAAGTGTAATCCCAAATATAACATGTGTAACATTTGACCACTTTCTAAAATGGCATTGTGTATTTCATACCATCTTGTAGAGGACATATTTCTGAGTGTGGAAAAAAATATTTAAAAAATGAGTGTGTCCCTGTGATTGATTTCATCAGTGAGTGACTATCCCACCACGAGGATCATGTGATCATATCTCTAGTATTCCAATCTTTGAATAAAAGACAGGTTGTTTCGTGTAAATGCTGATAATGTATTGAGACAGTCTGTGGTATCCCTGCTTTTCTTCGCAGCCATTCCTGTGTAGCCATTATTCCAGAACTGTAATATGCTGGTGCCCAAAACATATCCAACATCAATAACAAATAATTCTCAGGTTCATATCATCTATTAAAGTCAGTGTTTTAATGATTGTTTGCATTATTTAGACACATAATTTACAGATAAGTAGGATCTGAGGAACTGAACTGAAGTACGAATCAAGTACTGATCTAGCTGATAACATAAAACCATTTTTTAGAGCTTCCATTTTGTTTTTGTGCTGTTGTGTTTTCTTGGTCTGAGTTTGTGAGAATAAGCAATATATTGACATGATAATGTGTGCAGTTTTGTTGCTCCAGATGCATGTAATGAAGTGTGAACATTATTGAATCAGGAACTGATGTCAAAGCAAGAACTATCACAACCTCGTAAAAAACCATGACGTGCATCGTGTGTGCAGTAGATAACAGAAGAAGGTGACCTGGTACATTGGCTGACACTCCAGTGCTGTTCTATGGAAAGCAATTCACATGTAGTGTGATTCCCACAGTTCCAAAATGCTGTGTGGACACAACAGTTTTCCCAATCTCGTCAACATTAATTGTTTGTACATTGTTTTTATACCTTCAAACAGGTCTGTTTCCTCAGTACATTTGTTGAGAAGCAGTCTCAGTGCTATGGATGATGTTCATTGTTAGATTTCTGTAGTAGACCAGTGTCTGTTTTATAATTGGTCCATTTGACTTTTTGTATGAACTATTGCTAGCTGAACCATATCAGAACGCTTTACTTGTTTGTTTTACATGTCATCAAGGCACTTAAATATTTTTACTGTCCTCACTTGAATACTGAGCGTTTATTTTTCTAAAACCCTGTAATATTATGACCTCAATATTGTTTAGTATTGATGATGTTAGTGTTATTATGGCTGTGATATCACATTGACTGGCCTCATGATGTTTGGTGATAGGTACATGCTGGTGTATGAACCATGTAGCCTGGTTGACTGTCAATAATACACTACGTAATCTAAAGTATCAGATGAGCAGATCAACAGTATGAGGTCCTACTGCAGATCAGCTGGTATTTCAGGATTGCTCAATAATATTGTCTTGTTTGTCAGTTTTAGTTTGGGGCGGATGGGTAGCCTAGTGGTTAAAGCATTCGCTTGTCATGCCAAAGACCTGGGTTCACTTCCCCAAATGGGTACAATGTGTGAAGCTCATTTCTGATGTCCCCAGCCGCGATGCTGCTGGAATATTGCTAAAAGCGGCGTAAGTCTAAACTCACTCACTCAGTCATGTTTAGCTCACCTGACTGAGAGTCGAGGTTGTTGACTGATGTATGTCATCTAGGTGTCTGTACTTATACATTTTTCTCCTCTGAAACTAGAAGTCCAATGGAGCTGAAACCATGTAGGATGATCCTGGTTATGGTTTCTCAAGAAACTGTTCACACAATTCGGATTTCACTTTGAACATGTCTGCAAATGTCATTTTTGCTCATTGCTCATGTATGTCTCATTTATGATTTTTAAAGTTGATGTGCGAAAAGTATGTAATTTACCGTATATTACATATGCATTTTTGTAGTCTTTTGACTTCAATAATGGCTGCCATTACATCTTCATAATTTGGGGGTTTAGGGGTAGCTTAGTGGTTCGATCCTGGTTCGATTCCCCACTTGGGTACAATGTATGAAACCCATTTCAGGTGTCCCCTGCTGTGCTATTACAGGAATATTGCTAAAAGCGGCATAAAACTAAACTCTCTCACTCACTCTTCCTAATTCAGGTGAGCTACAGAGTATTGTGGCTATATTTTGGTGAAGCAAGAATGTTCAAATAGTGCTTGTAGTGCTAATGAGGCTATGGATAGTATTTGTCATGGCTAATTCCTTCAGTTTAAGTGTGGGTCATACAGGGTAGTATTTGTGGTTCATTGATGTTAGTGATAACTTCAGACTTCCTGATGTTTTGATAGTCCTATCTTCCAACCAAATAAATGTTAGTCTAACTGTCTTCATCATCACTATTTCCCAAACTTGTATGCACAATGTTCTCCATCACCTTAGATCACTTGTAGTGTAGCGGTTGACGTGAGTGGTGAGGTTGTTTATACCATGCAGAAATTCAGCCCTCCAAGTACACTTAAAGCAATGTTCCTGTCTACAAGGATAATTTATTTGCCAGCAGGTCAGTGATGTGTAGTCCCGAGTGGGGTAGCCTAGTGGTTAAACTGTTCACTCGTCACACCGAAGACCCGGGTTCGCTTCCCACATGGGTACAATGTGTGAAGCCCATTTCTGGTGTCCCCCGCCATGATATTGATGGAATATTGCTAAAAGTGGCATAAAAACAAACTCACTCACTCACTCACTCACTCACTCACTCACTCACTCACTCACTCACTCACTCACTCACTCACTCACTCACTCACTCACTCACTCACTCACTCACTCACTCACTCACTCACTCACTCACTCACTCACTCACTCACTCACTCACTCACTCACTCACTCACTCACTCACTCACTCCTGATTTTCATAGAAATGTATGACTGGTGTTATACATGATGTAAGGCATGTAACCTGCAGGTTGTGTGTTGTTGTGTGAGTACCCGCTGCTCAGAGCGGTTATCCTGTCTGTATCATACCTGCGATGGTGGTTTCAACAAAGTCGTAAATGTCCAAGACCTGCATTACTTTCGACTTCCGTCTCACGTCAAGCTTACACCCTCATATGGTTTGTGTACAGTTCAAAGTGGAATTAAACCTAGCCTCACTCACACACTCACACTCAAGCTCATCATTATCCTGTGCAGAATCAACCTGAATTCATTGGTGTAGCTTGAAACACTACACAGCATATGTTTGCATTTTCAGGTGCTGGAGGGGTATAGTGCTTATATGCCCCTGAAATATGGATGATGATTGACATGACTTGTTACCCTTGTAAATATGGCTCTGCAGAGTGTCTGATTAACAGCTGTTTCATGTTGCTCTGAATGTCATCATGATCAGACAAAGTTTTGGATGTGATGATAAATTTTTATTCAAATGCTAGGGATTATTGTTCTGATGGTTGTAAATTTGCGAATCTTGTATTTAGTTACAAGTTGTTTTGAAATGTTTTTGTAACCATGGCAACGAAATGAATTGTTTTGTTAATTTTAATTTGTGTAGTTTATTTTGTATTTGTTATGGTTCTCATGTGTTATTTTCTATGTTGTTCATGTAGAAACCATTTGTTGTTGTAAGTTTGATTCCTATTGTTTTGCAATTGGCATGGAAGTGTTTTCATCTGATATTGTTACTGGTTTGAGATGTTTGTCTCCGTGACATCAGACACAGCACAGGTTAGGGTCGGGGATCAGGGGTCCCCAACAACATCACTGAGAAGGTAGATTCATCACTAAGCATGCATGTATCTTACATCGCATTACGTGGTTACCAAGGAAACAGACATATCAGCTTGATCCAAAACATGAATATGCAAATATCAGTTTTATCCAGTGTGAAGAGTTCAGATTGTGTATCACTGTGGAAAATGGCTGGGCTTTGGACAGTGAGTTTTATATAATTATAGGGAACCTTACCTTATTCAGGTTACCATCTTCTGTTTTGAATGACACATGCATGAAAAGCTATTAAGATTTTTAACTGTTTAAGTAATTTGTTCATTGTTCCCGATACATAAACTGTATTTATTAAACTTGTTTCGATGACTTACAAAATCTAAAAGGTATTTTCATCCACCCATTTGATCCTAATAATGTTTATAAGGTCCAAAAAGTGTCCAACTGGTATTTTCAGAATATGTATAACTCATGTTAGGTGCTGACTAGCTCAGTAATATGGTTCAAGAATATTTTCCTCTATCATCATCACATTTTAAGATGCAGGATAATATTTGGGTTGAAGTTGAATGGCTGCTAGTTACAAAAGACTTGTGAGTCCCATACAATACACTTCCTTCTGAGAGGGGAGGAGTTTGAGCTGTTTCTTTGTAGAGTCGTGGTAATTATAACACAGGGTCTGGAGCACAGGTTGTGTTACCACAGGTATGGGAGCATAGGTCATTGTAGTACAGGTTGTACCACAGGTATGGGAGCATTGGTCATTGTAGCACAGGTTGTTCCACACATATGGGAGCATTGGTCATTGTAGCACAGGTTGTCTTACCACAGGTATGGGAGCATTGGTCATTGTAGCACAGGTTGTACCACAGGTATGGGACCATTGGTCATTGTAGCACAGGTTGTTCCACACAGGTACTGCCTCATGCACAGGTACAATGCATTGCGTGTGTTGCGAGTCACCTGTGTTTGCCTATTAATGCACAGTTGTTAGAAGTGCCACAGCTCAATGTACATACCGGTACTACTGGATGTCCCACCATGACAGGTGTCTAATGTATTCATGTTGTGCAATGATTGGTAATGTGAGATTGGCCAACAGCTTTTGTGTAATCGACATTGTATATTGGTATAATTGTTGTGTGATGTTAAAGGACTTATGTGAAGATAAATTAGTAATACAATGCCTATGTGAACAGTGCTTTTTAATGAAAGGATTATTGTTTTGTGCCGATGAAATCATTTTTATACCAAATGAAAGTAAAGATATACATGTTTTTGCATTGTATTGAACTACTACAAAGAAACCTGAATTTAAAAAAATAATATTATAGTTAATAGTAATGAACAGTATTTGCAATAATATTGGATATTGTTATGATGATGCTTTAAAGAGATTGATATGTTGGGGAACAAATACTTCCATGGTAGCCATTTTGAAATGTAATTGCATCTGAACATTTGCATTGTTGAAGTGTTTTGGCTGAGGATGTATTCATGCACACCGAGGGATGACCCAGTAATCTATATGTTATCGACAATGTGTTGTGAAGAGTTATGTCCCTTGTCAATACCAGGATCTGTACTTTTGTGCTTGAACATGATCTGTTTGCACCGTATCTATGCCGTGCTGTGGGTTGCACCAAAGTGGAGGAGACAGAAGACGTGAAAGAGTTTAGCTTATTCTCCCACATAACCTGCCACTCTGTGATATGACAGATATACTGATAGTAGTGTTAATCCCAACTCAACGAAGGTTTCATATGTTAGTTGGGTGATTTTTCAGCAACCAACCAATGATGACAGAGCAGAATTCAGTATGTTCTATCAAATAGGGGCAAGATTATATCATCAAGTGAATGTAAGACCCATCTGGAATTGAAGTCAAAGGTATTTTTCTAGAAACATGTTTCAGCCATCGTATTGTGTTGTCGACACTGATAAGGCCAAAATAATTCAGTCGTAAGTTTTTGTCTTATTGATAGGAAGAAATGAGTTTTTTAGTTGAAATTAATTGTGCCAATTGCTACATCAGGTGAAGGTATTTTCTTCAAGGGGGCCAAGGAAAATGTCATGCTCTTTGACAACTTGGCAAGGAAGCAGGTCGGCATTGAAAATGGTATCCTAATTTATTAACTGCCATTCAATGACTTTAATTTTTTGGGGCCAAATGCACCAGACCAACCATTTGATATTATGTATGGGGATATCAGGCTGGGGGTGAAAAGGCTTGGGATGTAAGGGCTGGGGGTGTTGGGGGTGTTAGGGCTGGGGGTGTTAGGGATGTAAGAGCTGGGGGTGTTAGGGATGTAAGGGCTGGGGTGTAGGTTGGAAATGTTAATGGACGTCCTGCATATCCTGGACATACCTTGCATGCCTTGACAAAACATTACTCTAACAATTTGACCCAAGAGCTCCCAGAATATTACATGGTTGGCCACTATGCAATATATGATTTCCATGGTACTATTAGTAAAATCAAAATATGACATGTCATTACTGAACCAAAAACAACTGACCAACAATTAATTTTGAGACTGTATGTGTGTGTTTTGCCTGAAGACATTTATATGTGATATTACGTACTTTTGAGTATGAAATAAAGACTGATAACTGATATTGTTGATTTGTGTTTATAAATACTGTCATGACTGTATATGTCATGGTAAAGCAAACGTGTATTTGGTGCTTTAAGTTGTGAAAATTAATATTCATATTTCCGTAACCATGGTAAAGTCACGTTGCACTACCAGGGGTGATATCAATGATATCTTATCTTATAGCCAATCTGTGTGTCAATATGAGAGTTAAGTATTAGCTGGATCATATTGAACGCCACCCAGGGTGGTAAAGCTACACAGCTAGCATGATCCAGGTGTTGTGTTCCTTGTGGCATGGGGGTTGAATTCCATGTACTTCCACTGGGAGTATAGGGGTTGGGGTAGCATGGTGGTTAAAGTGTTCGCTCGTCATGCCCAGGACCTGGGTTCGATTCCCCACATGGGTAGAATGTGTGAAGCCCACTTCTGGTGTCCCCCCTGATATTGCTGGAATATTGCTAAAAGCAACATAAAACTAAACTCACTCCGGTGGGGTAGCCTAGTGGTTAAAGAGTTCGCTTGTCACACAGAGGATCCGGGTTCAATTCCCCACTTGGGTACAAGGTGTGAAGCCCATTTCTGGTGTCCCCGCCATGATATTGATGGACTATTGCTAAAAGTGTTATAAAACCATACTCACAGGCAGTGTTTTTTTCAACAAGCCACAACGATTGTTTGCTAAAACCGTTAAAAAGATTGGTAATTTAAATAATAAAAAGTAAGACCAATACTGCCGACACCTACACCACTGGGAATTGTACAGGGTTCTATTCGATCTGACCCCAATAAACGTGTGAGGTGTATCCAGCATTTTTAACCAACAAATCTGTGAACAAATGTGCATAAACCTCTAATTTTGAATGTGCAAATATCAAAATCAAGTTATTGCTCCCTTGTATGTCGATATGATTTAGATGTCATCTTGGTTACATCTTTTACATTTTCAATGTACCGTGCATCGGTGCTCACTATATCACTCACCGGGTTATCTTATTCTGATTCTATTCGCGGAAGACTCGGGTTCGATTCCCCACAATGTTTGATGCCCATTTCTGGTGATAGTGCTGGAATATTGCTAACAGCGACGTAACTCTCTCCCACTCGTCACTATATGGCTGAAATATTGTCAATGTGACGTTAAATTTTAACTCATTCACTCTCTCCCAAGATTCTGTTATACACAAAACCGCCGTCCATATGCTGGAATATTTTATAAGTCTTACGTTAAATACCATTGAAGGTCCGGGTTAAAATATTGATCTTCAGTAACCCATGCTTGTAAGAGGCGATTAACGGGATCGGGTGGTCAGACTCCCTGACTGAGTTGACACATGTCATCGGTTCCCAACTGCGCAGATCGATGCTCATGCTGTTGATCACTAGATTGTCTGGTCCAGGCTCGATTATTTACAGGCCGCCGCCATACAGCTTGAATATTGCTGAGTGTGAAAACTAAACTCACTCGCTCTTGCGTTAAAAACAAACAGACAAAACGTTTTCACTTTTAAAATACCAGTGAAGCCATCCTGACCTGGAGTGAGTCACTGTCAAGGGTGCAGCCATTACTTTCTGTATTTTGAAAACAGTCGCGGTGTGTACACAGTTTTTGAACCTTCATCACTAAGCGACTGTCGTATCAGCACCTGTCGTATTGACACTCTATGGGAGTCATAAACACAGGATTACCGGGGATTCCACTAATCGAATAATCGATATTCTTATCTTAATCTTGACACTCAGTTACGGACAATCTCGTAGTCGCACATTAACATGACAGAGGCCATCTTCGTTACGTGATGAAAAAATAACTTTGTGTCTAAATACTTTTCAAATGTTTTATAGGCCAACTCATGTCTTATCGAAGTGAGACCCGTGAAGATCCGGGTTAGAATTGATCTTCTGTAACCCATGCTTGTCGTAAGAGGCGACTAACTGGATCGGGGGGTCAGGCTCGCTGACTTGGATGACACATGTCATCGTATCCCAACTGCGTAGATCGATGCTCATGCTGTTGATCACTGGGTTGTCGGGGTAGACTCGATTATTTACAGACCCCCGCCTTATAGCTGGGATATTATTGAGTACGGCGTTAAACAAGAAACAATGAAAAATGTATAAAATCGAAGGACAAAGGACACCGACAGAATGGTGTGTGGTCCTGTGCATAGAGCCTGGCTAGCTGGACCGCAGATCAGTTGCAGTTTAGCAACATTGCTCGCAGAAAATCCCTGGATGGGTGACCGTGTCTGGCAGCTTGATTCCTGAGAGTTTCTAGGACTTCAGTCCCACCCCACAACGAAGCACGTGTGCCACATATGGTTTCGCCTTAGGCAAGTGAGCCTCTTCACCCAACAGTGAATGGGTACCCGGTAGGATAAGTCATATGACTGTTAACCTCAGCGCCTCACAGGCAGGTTGGGCTATCCGGGGTAATGAGCGCGGCAACAGGCGCTTTATTAATAGCCATTATTGTTAACAAATTCATAACAAAGCTACATTAATTCTAGTTATATTATAGTAACCTACATTTTGTCATATGACATTTATACGAAACCTTTAGTGCGTGTGCACTTGTTGCTATCTAAACCCATTGTACGATAAGATAAAAAAACACCAGACAGGCTAGAATTAGCTTTCTGTCGCATCGATAAAAACATGACGTAAGCGTGCATTGTGACAAATCCTGAAATCGAACTATCGAGAGCAAAGATTACTAGGTTAATGATATGGTAAAGACTAGTCATTTACATATAGCATGTTCTCCTTTTGGACGTGTGCTGAGTCGAACAGTTGTTAACAGCTATAAATCATGTTTAATACCTTATACCCAAGAGAATACCTTATAAGTGCTGGCTGAATGTACATTCATATGATCAGAATACAACATATAGTCATTCCACTCTGCGTCAGTTGTTCGACCACCTTTCTAAAAGAGCGCCGCCTCGACGCTATAGATCGCCAGTGTATGAGACCAAGATTGTTTACCGTACATACTGTAATAACCACCACACGGGCATTCAACTGAGTGAGTGTTCTGTGTAGGCGGTGGGGTAGCCTAATGGTTAAAGCGTTGGCTCGTCACGCCGAAGACCCGGGTTCGAATCCCCACATGGGTACAATGTGTGAAGCCCATTTCTGGTGTCCCCCGCCGTGATGTTGCTGGAATATTGCTAAAAGCGGCGTAAAACCAAACTCAGCCAGTCAGTCAGTGTTCTGTGTACGTATTGCTAGCGTCAACCGTCAGGAGGTACGGTGGTGTAGCCTTGTGTGGTTAAAGCGTTTGTTCGTCACGCCGAAGACCCATGTTTGATTTCCATTATGGGTACAATGTGTGAAGCCCACTTCTGGTGTCCCCCGCTGTAATATTGCTGTAATATTGCTGAAAGCGGCGTAAAACCAAACTCACTCACACAACCGTGAGGAAGAGATCCGGGTCAGGATTGGTCTTCAGTAACTCAGGTTTGTCGTAAGAGGCGCCAAACGGGATCGGTTGGTCAGACTCGCTGACTTGGTTGACACATGTCATCGTATCTCAATTGCGTAGAGGGGCGGTGGGGTACCGTAGTGGTTAAAGCGTTCGTTCGTCACGCCGAAGACCCGGGTTCGATTCCCCACATGGGTACAATATGTGAAGCCCATTTCTGGTGTCCCCCGCCGTGATATAGCTGGAATATTGCTAAAAGCGGCGTATAAACTAAACTCACTCACTCACTCAATTGCGTAGATTGATGCTTGTGATGTTGATCACTTGATTGTCTGGTCCAGACTCGATTATTTACAGACCGCCGCCATATGGCTGGAATATTGCTGAGTGTGGCGTTAAGCAAACAAACAAAACGTGAGGAAGACACAATCGCAATGGAACTATTATCCATGCAGTGCAACCTCCAAAAACATTCGGAATTAGTCATTTAGTACCCTCCTGGGTGGAAAATCGACAAAGGTACACAGACACAAAACCAAAACCATGGTTTCACGCTTCCTTTTGCAATATTCCAGCAATATGGCTGCAGAGGATACCGGAAAAGGACTTCATACATTGTACCCATGTCGGGAATAGAACCCGGGTCTTCGGCGTGACGAGCGAACATGACACTCCTTTTTTGATAAAATTAATAAATGCGTTACAGAGGTAATATTGCAGTCTGTAAAATGGCAAATATCTTCCATTGTTAATTTATGCCAATAGTCTCATTTGGACTTTGGTCCAAGAATAACCTGCCAGCACTAGGTTGTTGGGGAAAAATACTGAGCTCCCTCTCTCGGCAAAATACGACAATACGAACTTTTGTAATTGCGACCCTTACAAAACAGCAGGGATTGCTATACGGAGTGTATACAAATCTGTAACTCATGTTCAATAGATCAGG